AGCAGGGTCAAGGGTGACAATGAATTATTGGCTACACCCAGATAGTGCCGGACATGTTAACTCCCAATAAATCCTTCGAAGTTTTGTAAGTTTGGCTCGAGACTCATGATTTAAATGGGGTAACTGCCAGAATCCTGACACCTCCCATTCTATTAAAAAAAGATAGCAGTCAAGAAATTAAATAGCCCTGCATTACATACATGTTAGGGGCACGAAGGCAATTTTAAAGGCCCGGTCATTCAAAGGTCCATGCTATCTATCAGCAATCCTGCACTATAAAGGCACAAGGGCCCCTTATTTTTCTCTCTAGGGGTAGCCCTCAACTTACGACCACAACTGAGCCCAAAATTTCTGTTGTTAAGTGAGATGTTTGTGAAGTAAGTTTTGCCCCATTTTATGACCTTTCTTGCCACAGTTGCTAAGTGAATCACTGCAGTCGATAAAGTTAGTCACACAGTTGTTAAGTGAAACCGGCTTCCCCTTTGATTTTGCTTGGTTGCAAAAGGGGAATCCCATGACCCTGGGACCCAGCAACGGTTGTAAGTATGAACCTGTGTCCAAGTGTCCGAATTTCGATCACATGATCGTGGGAAATGCTGCAAAAGTGTGAAAAATGGTCACGAGTTCACTTTTTTTCAGCGCCGTTGTAACTTTGGTCACTAAATGAGCCATTGTAAAGACGAAGATGACCCATGTTCGATATTTCTCAACCTTGGTGACTTTAAGATGCGTGGACTTCTTCCCCGGCCGGCCTTCCTACCTCAAACGTTGAGAAACACTGCTCTATTGAGAATGCCAGGCAGAAACGATGGCTGCAGCCTGTGGTTTTTCTGAGAAAACGTAATACGGCACTCTACAAAACTATATAAACACGAGAAAGACTTGCTACAGAAGTGGCAATGCTAAGAGAAACAAATACAGATTTTAGAGCTCAGAGTAAGCCAAGTGGGAACAAACATCCTGAAGAGATTTCTAGAGACTAAGCAAATACACTCACAGAGCCCTGTGGAAGGCATCAGGGACTGGCTGATTTCCTGCATCGTGATATAATGTGATTTTTGCACAGTTTTAGTTAGCACGATGTATGTATTGTGGTTTGCAAACTCTGCCTTTGTAGCTTTAATGCAACGAGGGTAGCCAACCACAACACCTGTTCAACAAAGCACAGTTGAAATACTTTACTTTTACTTTACTTTATTGTCACTGCACCTCGTACAACAAAATCAAACACCAGATCTTCAGTGCACATCATGACCATGACCATGACCATGAAAATAAACGCAAACACACAACCTTCACCCTTCACACATTGAACTGGAAACCCCCAACACCGCACCATACAGCAGAATTCAAAAGAGCTACTGCCCTGGGATAGAAGCTGTTTTTCAGCTTATTTGTCCTTGTTTTTATTATCCTGTACCATCTGCTAGATTGTAATAGTTCAAAAAAAAGGGGTTCCCAGGATGAGATGGATCTTTGAGACTGTTTGGAACTTTCTTAAGGCAGCAGGAGCTACAAAGCTCTTCCAAAGAGGGGAGAGAGCAACCCATGATCCTCTGGGCAATGACGTTAACCCTCTGGAGCGCTTTCCTATCTGCCCCTGTGCAACTGGCAAACCATACAGAGGTGCAGTATGTTAAAATGGTCTCTATGCTGCAGCGGTAGAAGGTCACCAGCAGTTTTTCATTCAGTTGTTGTTTCCTGAGAAATCTCAGGTAGTATAATCTCTGCTGGGCCCTTTTGACCAGGGCTGCAATGTGGGCACCCCAGATAAAGGTAATCCGTGATTTACGAATGGTTGCTTAGCGACTGCCTGAATTTAGGGTAGACTTCCCTGGGAATATTTATGGCCTGGATTCACAGGTTACCATGATTGACATTCTCCCAGTCATGTGACCTCTCTTTAGACACCTGGCAAATGGCTATTTGCCGCATCCTGTGGTCATGTGACTGTGTTTTACGATGTTTTTGCAGAAAAAGAGCATTGAGTTCCGGTTTTCGGAAAAAAACCTCGCCCATTGGTTCATTTAACAATTGCGCCAAAATTTTAGATTTTAACATTTGGTGGATCATGTAGGTCAGGGGTCTCCAACCTTGGCAACTTTAAGCTTGGAGGACTTCAACTCCCAGAATTCCCCAGCCAGCTTTGAGATCCCTGATGTAGGTGACCCAGTTTAGGATCATCATGAATTATGACTATGATGGGCAGGCCGTAACTCAAGGACTCCTCATGTAGTTGGTGAACCCAATTGGTTTTTCAAGAGTTTCAGCCCACAATGTTTATTTTTCAAGAGTATTCTAACTACCAGCCTATACCAAAACGCTACCACTGCTCCAAGGAAAAGCTCTTTCCTGAGAGAGCATATTGTTGGGAGGGTTTGCTTGGTTGAAAAAACAAAGGTCTCCAAACTTGACAAACTTGAAGATTGGTGGACTTCAATTCCCAGAATTCCCCAGCCAGCATTTGGAGATTGGAGTATGGAGACTCCTGGTTTAAAGCAAGGAATAGGATTCAACTGTTAAGAGGAAGTCTAGCCACATGTGTGGTAGGGAAACAATGGCCTGAAAGCATTTGCTTCTGTAACTGGCAAGGCTTAATAAACAGGACAAAAGTTAAGAATGAAAGACAGCCAAGTGGTCAAAGGCGGGGGAGGGGGGAGGAGGGGGGAGGGGAACAGAGGGAGGGAGGAAGAGAGAGAGAGAGAGAGAGAGAGACAGAGAGAGAGAGAGAGAGAGACAGAGAGAGAGAAAAGGTTGACAGCAAGATCTGGGATGCAAGCATTTAAAATTTCTACAATATGCAAATAGATCTGTGTGTTTTGTTTATTCATTAGCATATTGGTCTTGCTGCAGGAGGACAGCTATTTATTTATTTATTTGTTAGATTTATTTGCTCCTGCTCTCACCGTGGGGCTACTCCGAGCAGCTTACGACAGTAAAGTGGGGGGAAAATGACAACAAATATCACTTAGCAATAGCACTTAAACTTATATACCGCTTTACGGTGCTTTTACAGCCCTCTCTTAAGCGGCTTCACAGAATCAGCCTCTTGCCCCCAACAATCCAGGTCCTCATTTGACCCACCTCGGAAGGATGGAAGGCTGAGTCAACCTTGAGCCTGGTGAGAGTCGACCTGCCAAATTGCAGGCAGCCTGCAGTACTGTACTCTAACCACTGCGCCACCGTGGCTCATGTAAATGTAACAATAGCAAAGGAATAAAGTAATAAAAACAACCAATGGAAGCACAATAATATGAAATTTTAAAAAGAGGGTGGGAGTGGGAGCAGAAAGCACAGGGAGGTGATGTGGGGTCAGCTAATTAATCCAGTAGCCACCTCCAATGATGTACTCCCTTATTGGGTGCCTGTACAGGAGATGGCTAGGCTGAGCCCGAGGGAGGGATCAAATGCGTCATCAGCCTCGAGTCCCTTTGCGTCCACAAGAGCTGTAAGACCAGCCCACCTTAAATTCCATTGATTCTTATCTATTGTCAACTCGCTTTGACCGTTTAGTAGTTCAGATTCTTGTCGAGAGCTTTAGCATTTAATAAACTACATATTCGGATAAACCGCCTGGAGTCCTGATTTCCTTCTCTTGAAAGTCCCTAGGCCAACATACAGAGCCAGGTCTCCAAGTCCTTGAGAAAGGATTGAAAGGTGGAGGGCAAACCTCACCTGGGAGGGGAGCAGGATGGATAGGATATATTACCTACCTTTTTTTTATTATTGCAAATGATTTTTTATTGTTTTCCACCAGTACAAATCATATTTACATTTTCAACAGCATTTTGCATCAACATACAAATTTATCATATATTTTCTATCATCTATTCATATACCTCATCAATAATTATCCTTACTTATGCTTGTTATTAATATCAATCTTTATCTATTTTACATATCTATATATCATTTTCTTAAGGATTCTTCTATGTAATCTTCGCTTTTCATTCCTTGTCTCTATTTTCTAACCATTCGTACCATCTGTGCCAAATTGAATCATAATCAGATTCTATTTTCCTTCATTTTTAATGTAAGCATATCCATTTCTGCACAATCTGTTATTTTATGTAAGATTAATTCTTCTGCTGGAACGTGAGGTCCTTTCCACGTTTGCGCATAAGCTATTCTAGTTGCTGTTAGAATATGTAAGATTACGTATTTTATCTTTTTCGGATATTGGTCTTTGATTATCCCCAATAGATAGAGTTCCGGTCTGAGTTCAACTTGATATCCCGTAATTCCTTGTATCCAATCTTTGATTTTGGTCCAATCTATCTATCTTTTTTTTAACTGTGAAGGTGAAGTTTCCTAGATCAAGGACGCAGTGATATTCAAGCAATGGACTAAGCTAAGGAACTCTGAATTTTGGGAATTCCACGTTAAGAAGATGAATTGTTCAGGCAAGTTGCATTAATTTCTCCGAGTTGTGAGTCACACGGACACCCCTGTATTGGCACACGGCAACAGTTGCACCATGCGGGTCTAGTGAGGAATTTAATATGCACAAAATAATTGTGGACACTGCCTGGCTTCCCAAAGCAGATTTACAGGGATGGATTTCCTTGGCTGGCAAATCACATAAAGAAAATCCCTCAAAAACAACTGAATTTTTAAATATTGAGAAGGGACATCACGCAGCTTCATCAATCCACATACAATACTTCATATAATCACAAATAACTGCTATCGTAGAACCCTTGTTTCATAGGCATCTATAACAATCACACTTATTTCATGTAACTCAATAATATATTCATTTATTCAGTACTGACTTAAGCATCTCTTTTTCCTAGCACGTTTACCCCTTCCTTGCTTTTTCTCAGAGTAAGCAATATTAATGTTTGCCATCCATACCATCCGTAAACATTTACTCTAGACGCCGTGAAGCTGAACAGAACCTCAGGGTCAATATTTAAATTTAGGGATTGGAGTCTCTCTTTCCTGCAGAACTGAAAACAAAACTTAGTGGAATTATTCTGTACAAGACTTGCATTTACCTGATGATTCTCTGCGCGGCATACTGATGAAGGGAGCGGAACTGTGCGGACATGTTGGCTAGAGCTGCCAGGCAATTTGTATGAAGGTATTTGTCCTGTTTGAGATGAGATGGGGGAAAAAAACACAGACACACACACACACATCAGATTATCCTTCCTGCACACTGCAAGGCCTGTCAAAAGGAAATAATTTGCTAGTCTTTTCTGTTTACTGGAGGCAGAGTTGCAATAAAAACAAGGCAAGGCTGTGTGTTCTGATTTGAGGGCTCAGCCTCATTGATAGCTTAAGTCATCCTAGCTCAATAGGTTAATTGTCTTTTATGGAGGAGTTGCTAAGTTCATTAGTGCTGATCAAAATTTAAAAGTAAAGTAGCTCTTCTTATATTTCAAGATTTAATTGTTTACTTTATTTGGAAATGAGCTTACCTCCCCCGAAAAATGTAGGCTTATATTTCCCATATTACTTACAAACTGATACACAATATTCCACATAAAAGAGGTTCACTTAAACTAGTACTATAGAAGTCACTTTCTGAAACATAAAATCCCATATAAAATACTATTCCATAAACTTCCCACCACAATGCCATCAGGTTTACTGTTCGTCATGCCCCTGGTGGAGACTGGCTCTGAGGGAGAGGAGGAACAGCGGACAGGGAGTGGAGATGTGCCTCCAGGGGTTGTGGAGGAGGCTGGGGAAGGGCAGAGGCCGGCTGAGCAGTTAGAGGAGGACCCAGGCCCATCCCCTCTCCATCCTAGGGCACGTAGGGAGGAGAGGATAAGGGAGAGGTGTGGTCTACTCGGGAAGAGAGGGCCTTGATCCTCTTCATGGGCTGCAGCTGTGACAACTGAATAAGAGTACAGACCTGCGAACGGGCAAACACTGGAAACAAAGCCTGGAAATATCTCTAGTTTATGGTTCCTCTCTTAAGTTTAGCATCCTTCCCAGTGTGTGTTATCTATGGAGGTCCTCCAGCCCTTATCTTGCCTGGTTTGTGTTGCTTTTTTCCTTCTTCATGTAACTGTGTGGGAGTTTTTTTGTCTTCTGTCAAAGTTATTCGGAGCTTGGAAGCAAAGTGAAGGAATAAAAGGGGCTTCACCTGTTTTCTGTGACTGTGTTTGTTTTGTATCCCACCCTGGGTCATCACACTGTTGTACAGGTAGCTGTCAACTTACTACTGTAATGGAGCCTGCTTATTCTGCTTGTAAGTTGTGACAGCCGTAAATCGAGCTGCCCACATGATTGGCACAATTTTATCATCCATTTTTGATGTCATTTAGTGAACCAATGGTTTGTTATGGGCTGGTTTTGCCCAAAACCAAAAGTAGGAGTCCTGAGTAGAATGCAGTATTGCAGACTAACTCTTCTGATTGCCAGCAGTTCGATCCTGACTGGCTCAAGGTTGACTCAGCCTTCCATCCTTCCGAGGTGGGTAAAATGAGGAGCCAGATTGTTGGGGGCAATAAGTTGACTTTGTAAGCCGCTTAGAGAGGGCTGGAAAGCACTGTGAAGTAGGATATAAGTCTAAGTGCTATTGCTAAATGTCATTTTTTGAATAAAACCATCATAAAACGCGATCTCGTGACCAGGGACACTGCAAAGATTGTAAATGTGGGCCATTTGCCAAGTGTCCAAACTGCAGTCAGGTGACTGCGGGTTGGGTGGGAGGGCAGCCATCGGAACTTTGAATTTGGGTCATAGGTACCCTCCCCCCCCCAAAAAAAAATATCTGTCATAGCATTGAATGGTCATGATCAATTGTTTGTCAAAAGTCTACCTGCGTAGCATTATAAAGATGACATCGATAAAATTATGCCAGCTCTGTTCCCAAGGGATAAATATATATTTTATCTTTAATAATAGCCTGATGACAACTGGAAGTGGCTCAAACAAACACCTCCCTAATTCACTGAATTCTAAGTAGTAGTAGTAATAGTAGTAGTAGTAAGCAATAGCAATCACACACTTATATACCGCTTCACAGTGCTTTACAGCTTTCTCTTTCAGAGTCAACATATCGCCCCCAACAATCCAGATCCTCATTTTACCCACCTCAGAAGGCTGGCAGGCTGAGTCAACCTTGAAGCCAGTTAGGATGGAACCCCTGGCAGTCGGCAGAATTAGCCTGCAATACTGCATTCTAACCACTGCGCCACCACAGCTCCTAACTGAGGTACAGCTCAATCAGACTTAGAATCGTAAGGCTGGAAGGGACCACAGAGCTCTTCTAGTCCAATCTCCTGATCAAGCCAGGAGGCCTTAGACCAACACAGGCAATGGTTGTCCAGTTTACTCTGTTAATGCCGCACGGAAGCTTCCAGAAAAAGAAAGCGAATCCTCATAATCTGGTAAAAGATTCCGATTGTTTTTATTATAGCCCCTCGCAATAAAAGTAGTTTTGGCCTTTGCCATGGAGTTGATTTCTCGGTCTGGTCCCCCTAATGGGACTGACAATTGTTCAGATGACAAACCTTTACTTTAGCCATTATTGTTACTTTGCAGCAAAGATAGGAGTATGGCTCCTCACCAGACAGCACAACCCACTCTGCATGTTGCAGGGCTAGTCGTGTAAGATAGCTTTGTCGTATTTGATGAGAAAGGAAAAAATAAGTTGCTAAAGTTTGAGCATTTGTATTTTTTTTTTACTTCTTGATCAACTCTGGTGTTTTGGTTACTAACCCCATATTTTCTTCTTCATTTGAATTTATTTCAACTCGCTGGAGCAGGGGTGGGGAACTATGGTCCCTTAATGATCTATGGACTTCAACTCCCAGAATTTCTGAGCCAGCTGGCTTGTGAATTCTAGGAGTTGAAGTCCATAGGTCATAAAGCGGCCACCCCCTGCTCTAGAGTAATACAACACTGGGGTTTCATTTGAGATCTCTTTCTCTCTTAGTTCTTCCAAAAAAAGAGAGAAAAATCCGCAGGCTTTTACTGTTTCGTGAAGGAATGCAGCCTTAGCTTTTGTTAGGCACTTTGGTTGCCACTGCAGAAAATGAAATATCTATTCTACTTGACATAAATCCCAGCTACAAAACTTACCCTCGTCCTTGTCATATTGTACTGAATGGTCCTTATTACGACAAGAATCAGAAGACTCCCCAGTGAAATTTCTGTTAGCACCCGTTCTGAGTACCAAGTAATATTTTTCAAGATCTGGAAAGAGAGAGAAGAAACACAGCGTATTAACCTTGTCAAGCGAACGTCATGCTCTCAGTTCAGATTCTATTTCCCAAAGTAGAGAAATGGCGAAAGAAACCTTTAGCACGATCTATTCCAACGTAAAATATTTAGAATTTTTTTTTTTTTTAAAAAAACCACCCTCTTTGAAGACATGGAGGCCTGACAGACATAGAAACCTCTCCCGCAGGGAAGAATTCTAATGAAAAGCATGACTGTGTTGGTTTGTTTAGCGGAACTGTTTGAATAAGAGTGAATCGAATTGTGTTATACCATCATCAGAAGGCCAGCCAAAGCTGGGCAAAGGCAAACTAATCGTGTTTTCCACTTTCCTACTTGGAGTCTAGGGGGACCTCAAATCGTACATCTGCTTCTGTACCGCTGCAGCTAACAGAGAACAAGATGGCTTCCGAAAAAACAGTCACATCTTATTGAGAGTCAATCTTTCACGGGTTTTTCCCGTATCTTTATAGCCTCCGGGCAACTTAAAAGATCACGTTTCCTAAAATATCTTTCGCTTGGCCCGAAGTGTAGAAGTATATCTGACAATACTTTCACCCTGAACGGAAGATGCCTTCCAGCAGCTTCACCTAGACATTAAGATGCAGGAAAGAGAGAGCGGGAGGGAGGGAGGGAGGAAAGAGAGAGGGGGGGGAGGAGTAGAGAGAGGGAAGGGGAGGGCAAAAAGGGGGGAGGGAGTGAAAGAGGGGGGAGGGGGAGAGTGGGAGGGAGAGAAGGAGGTTGGGAGAGGGAGAGAGGGGGAGAGAGGGAGAAAGAGAGGGGGAGGGGGAGAGGGAGGGAAGGCAAAAGGGGGAGGGAGAGAAAGTGGGAAGGAAAGAGAGCAGAAGGGAAGGAGATAGAGGGAGAGAAGGAGGTTGGGAGAGGGAGAGAGGGGGAGAAAGAGAGGGAGGGAAGGTGAAATTGGGAGAGGGAG